ATCTCCAGTCCTAGGAGGACTCCCTGGATGGTCACTTCCAGCCGGTGCCTTCTACTCTTTCCAGTGGAACCAAACCTTGCTATGCAGCGAGAAGACACCTACCCCTGCATTCCACAACAGGCGCTGTCGTTCTGAGCCTCCCCCAGCGTAGTAGAGACAAGTTTAAGGTCTTCGTTCAGTAACACAGTCAGGGTCCAGATTCCACAGGGGTTCGGATTTCCTGGTCTCCCTGCCTCTTTCCTTTGGGATGTTTTTCTGGTCCCTCCTCCAAGCTGGACAAACAGGTTCCCCGTGGTTTCCATAAAGGACCGACTGGGGGACAAACATAAGAAATGCAAAAGAGAAAAGACTTAAGCGGATGGATCTCTGCAGAGACTGTTGGAGTCCCCTCCCCTGCCCCGTCGGATCTTCTTACAGCACAGTTGGCTAGTGCTTCTCTCTGCCTATCCCAGGTCCTCGGAGGTGAGGCAATTAATGCTTTGTAATTGCTAATTACTCCTCTCAGGTGCTTGAAGTCTGTTGTGAGGCGCAGACAACAACTGTCTGGTTCCAGGGTATCCCATCTCTGCAAAGAACCTTGCTTTGCTTAAACTCGGGAGTCCCCAAAAGATGTGTGAAATGAGGGGTACAGGGCCAGAAGTCTGGGAAGGGTTCAGCCTGCATCTCAGACTATGTTGAGAAACGTGGAATAAACGTCTGGAGGGATGGTCAGGAACACTCAACAGCGCCCTGTCTGGTCTGCCACCTCTAGGTTGAGCCCACGTCTTTGGAATCCTTCCTTGATTGTTTCCTCTTACGCCTCAGAGACTCCTCCCTCAGGCTGATTGGGCTCAGAGACTCTTCCCTCACGCTGATTGGTCATAGCTGGCAGGAGCGTGTAAGCATGATAAGCCCTGGGTCTTGCTGGATATCCCCAAGAGTCTTCATCACAGCGGAGGCTCAACAATGCTTGTTGACTGAACAAATGAATAAATGATGGGGCTAGAAGAAAGACCAATGACTCCAAACTCAGGACTGATGCTGGAATGGCCGGTCACAGGCACAACCGATAAAGGCCGTAGGAGTTCCATGCAGGGGAAGGAAGGCACAAAACGAACACCAACCTCAAACTATGAGCCTCAGTTGCTATCCTTAACCAGGAAGGGAGAGATGGCAGTCTCGGGGAGTAACTCATGCTCAGGTTTTTGTTGGTTGGGGTCTCTGATGAGGAAAGGGGCTGGAGAGGGAGGCGTTGCAATAAGATACCTTATTGTGAGCATTTATTATGTTCATGGCACTGTACTAGGCAGAGGGAAACTGAGAAGGGACAAATATGAGGAAAAAAGATAAATTCTCTTCAGTTAATCCTTATGATGGTCTTAGGAAATACTTACTTGGTTTATGCATTATTATCCTAAGGTGTTTTGTTTGCTTTTGTTACTTTTTTCCTTAAGAAACAGAGTCTAAGAGTTCTTAAGCAAGTTGCCCAAAGTCATACAGCTATAATATTGAGAACCAGGCTCACAGTCCAGAGTTACTGACTCTAGCCCCAGGTTCAAAAATCTTCAGCCTGATCCTGCCTTCTCTTCCCTGCCCAGTGGGTTTGGCAAGTGAATTTGTGATGGGAAGGATGAGGGATCCAGCAGAGGCTATGTTGTACCTCCCTTGCCAAGGGCCCCACTTGCTGTTCTGTATTAAAGCAGGAGGCTGTTGGGCTCTTTCTGTTCAGGGCTCTGGCAGTGGGTATTTTTACCTCTTTACATTGCTGCTTCCTTCTCTACAGAGTGGGTATAAAACAAGAACTGGTTTCATTATGTCGTTGTCAGTCTTATAGGAGACAATAAAACCTTTTAAAGGTTGATTGAAGTCAGTAGTTTCCAGTCCCACCAAGTGCAAGAGAAACTCTTGCACAGGAGGTGGGTCTGAGTAAGATCAATTGTGTGGGCTTTTTATGTCTATTTCCTGTCTGAGTCCTTTAAATGCCAAGGAATTCACGGATGTTCTTCAGGAGCAGAGGCCCATGGCTAGGAAAGATTCCCTGGGACCTCTATGAAGCAAGTGACCCAAGTTTCCAGAGAAGTGGGCATGCCTTTGGGATATCTTGGGAAGCTGGTGGACCTTACAGTGAAGAGTTCAGAGATAATGGCATGTCTGCACGCCTAGGCATTTTGTCTGTCTGCTTTTTCTTTGAAATTCAATAGTAAACCAGGACCTGAACTATGGAGCTCAAGTTCCTAAGAGCCTGTTCCAGGTACACACTCTTGAAAAGCTCCCATCTTCCTTTCCCAGATGGCATGGGATCCTGGTGCCAAGTCCAGTGAAGACTTCACTGCTCCAGTGAATCATCACAGGCCTGGGAATAGTAGAGCCTGCCTTGTGATGATGGCTTGGGGGTGAGGACTGCTCTTAACCAAGTGGGCACCCTCTATCTATGTCTGTGTTATCTACTCTCTCTGAGAATTATGGGAAGGTACATAATTAACCCTTTGTACTCCACTATGCTTCTCTGAATGAGGATAAA